CTCTTGTTCACATTTTATTCACTTCAGCACAAAGTACATCAGTACATGTATGTTAGGTACTCAAAAAAAATGATAGATGCACAATATAATAATGCAAAATTAAATGGAGTCCAGTTTTTGACTTATTTTTTATTACATACTCACTTCCTGAGGAGGCATACTACATGATTCCAACAGCAACACTCAAAGTAGCTAGCTCAAGTACTGTTTCACACTCAGATTGTGTATAATTTTGTTAATACTTTTTAAATCCTAAAATCTGGTTCATTCATGTCACTTTCCTGAAATGTCCTGCATGCTCTAGAATGCTTGTCTCTCCTTTAACAATTTTTTTAAAAATTAAGCTTGTTATCTACATGACTCCCAGATCAATTCTGGCTGTGCTTGTACCCGATAATTTGTTTGTATAAATTGGGTATTAGTTTTATTCGCTTATTAAATTGGGTATTAGTCTTATTCGCTGACATACAGCTTTTCAGCACCCAGAGTAAGGTTTCTCCATTCATTAAGTAGAAGTGACATTGTCTCCACATTGTCAGCAGGTAGTGTGTGTTGTACATATGTCTGGAAAGACACACTGTGTGACTTACTATCACACAGGCATAAGTCATGGCTCAAAAAACTTCTAACAAAAGAAATGAGGAGCACAGGGTAAAATTGAGATGAAATGAACATGTCATTAACCCTCTCACCTCTTTTCCCATTATGCTTTGTGAAATTAATCAGTGAATAATTCCTAGAGCTCTGGAACCTGGAACTCTCAGCGAAGAAAGGCAATAGGACACAATTAACACCCTGATTTTATTTTTTTAATAGCTTACACTACAGGAGGAAATGTCTAACAGAGTATTTAAATTCAGCATAAAATCCTAGCAACCACAATTTTAATTGCATACTGACTGCAAAAATATTTTTTTCATTGTCTAAATAAAAGGAAGGCTATAATACGTACTGTCTGCTTATTTCAGGACTCAGTTATTCATCTTTAAGAATCTTTGCTAGGATGAAAGACTCTTTCTCCAGCAAATGCATCTTGAGACCAGGACTTAATCTTTTAAAATCCTAACTCTCGTTTTGACCTATGTTAAGACTTCTATCCCTGACATAAAAGCACCTTGAACAATTTCAGACACTAGAATTTCAGGAATTTTTTATTAGTAACTCAAAAATATTACCTTTTAAAAGTCACAAAAATGAAAAGCTACCTTTGTCTGCAACACATAAACACACATGTAAAAAAAATGCACAATATGAAATTTGATTACTCAACAGCAAGTCATCACAAATGCAAGCAAAGATTGGGTTGCTGTTTCCATAGAGATGACTTTAAGTGGTTCAGTTCTTCTGGGAATTTAACCAAATCCCCATCAGCAGAAGAAAATCATCAGCAAAAATTCTGCAACATATGGCAACTGCCAACAAATCAATGAGAAGCAAAAAGAAAAAAACTTCCATTTTCTTTTCCTTTTTAATAAGAGGAATACCGTCACATTGAGCTGTTTGAAGAAGTGTACAGATTTTGCTGGGCACTCTGCGTGTAACTCAAAACTAAATAATACCAGGTTGCTTCATTCTTACATTTAAAGGGCTGTTGGTATCCAGCCAGGCTCTACAGCACATGCAATCCTGGAATGACATTTAGCCAGGAACAAGGACTGTTGCATCTTCCCATGACTCTCTGGCTATGGTCCTAAAAGAAAACTCTCAATCTCCAGGGTTATCTCTTGGGAAAGAATGCAAATGGGATTTTATTCTCTAGTATGTTTTTGAAGCTATGCTCATATTGGGGTGTGTGTGTGCGTGTGTGTGTGTGTGTGTGTGTGTGTGTGAAATTTTTTTTAGTTCTACTTATGACCCAATGATTAAAGTAAGTGTTTGTAGGAGAAAAATAATAGATGTAGTACTTTGTATTATTTTCTTTAGTTCCACCAGTCCTATATCTGGAAATCTCTTCTAAGTATCAAGGTAGAGGTCATCTAGTTCAAGATACTTAAATTATCTCTTCAGTATATCTTTTCAAGAACAAGAGTTGTGATCAATACGCAATAGGTAATCAATATTCAATGAAAATGGTTGTCTCAGAATGAGTAAACAACTCCAGTGATAAGAAATGCATTACTTTCCAAGGAACCCATTCTATTTTGAACATCTCACATCAAAAAAAAAGTTCTTATGCTGAGCTTCAGTCTATCTCCTTTTGACTTGCACCACTGAGTTCAATTTTGTGCTTCCAAGGAGATACAATTAAGCTCGATACTTTGTCCAAATGACAGCACCTCACAAACCTGAGGGCGGGTTCAGACTACTCTTCCTCACAGTCTAATCTTTAGTCCTCTCCATTCCTCAGTGATAAAGTTTCTTTTCTCCTCCCTATGCTACTCATTCACCTCTAGAAATAGGTTGGTTTGCCAATGACTTTATTCACTCCAGTTCTTCTAATGTAAAATAGACAGTTGGCCTAAGAGGGGAGGGGTATAAGAAAAATAGGCCAGGCAGGTCTGTGTAAAGCATCCTTAGGTAAGGCCTCACAGAGTGGTGACAACTGTTGTAACCTAGAGAATTAGTTACCAGGCTGAGTATTCAAATTTACATACTTTTAAAATACTATACACACACACACTCACACTCACACACACACACACACAACTTGGTCTGCAGTTGTGATCCTTGGCCAAATTACTCTGGTACCAAAAATTAAATTAGCAGGGTACCCATCTGAAATTTGAGAACTTAAAGAAAGATTCCCTGACTAGACTAGAGGAGAGGAGAGAACAGTCATCTGCGTCATTAGACACTCTGGCAAGTGATTATGGGAATTTAGCAAGTCAACTTTCTCTCAATGGCACACCAAAAATATACAAACCAAACTCATCATTCTTTAACTGCTCAGTATCTTCCATCAGGTAACCGTGTTTTACAGCAGAATGAATAGCGCACAATCAGAAAAGACGCGTCATGATTGAACAGTAATAAAAACAAGCTAGTCCTGAATAAACGATAAGGACCAGTTATCAGAGTATTTTTTAAACCTCATATTATCAACTTCATCACACAATTAATTATTTCCTTTGTTAAGATGTAAAATGTTTTTTGAATGCGTAAGTTGTGCTCTCCTTTATATATAAAGGTTCTAATGATGCATAAAGTGCGTGCAAATTGTCTGTCTTCCCATTAACCACACAGGAACATTCAGAAGACGATGGGCTAAGAATTAGATGCTGTCTGGGGCACAGCCCAGGGAAAGTGGCTGCTCTAAGCTCATTTTGAACTATTAAGGTGATGTTATGAATACGAGACTACAAAATCCTAACTCAACCACCACAAGCTCCAGTGCATGGGACATGGGACCAAAAACAAAGAGGCAAGTTTTTTCTCCAATTGGTGGAAAAGTATCATTATTTTATGATCACATGTCTTAGAGTTCTGAAGCAGTTGGTTAGTGACACTTATAGCAAGTAATTAGTGACCTAGTAGCTGGAGTTGTCCACATGCAAACTCCTCTACAAAGCAATCTCTGGGCATAGCCCCACTTGACTAATTATTGAATCATCGTGCATGAGTTTAACCATTGTTGTTACAAATTAATATCAGAGTTCCATACACACACAAATACTCACTCTCTAACGAAGAAAAAAGAATTTCTTGGTTTACCTTTGTCCATGATCTTTGATCCAGCAGGCTTATCCGGGACAGTAAGATGGTCATGATTGCTACTTAATGAAGAAGTATCATCACTAGATAAAGAGTTCAAAAATCCACTTTCTGATGTGACAAAGCTGTTTTCCGGGGCCTTGTGGCTGCCTGCCTCTGAGGGTGCAGGTGAATGAACTTGTACAGCAAACGTTATTGGTTGTCCCTCATTTTCAGCAGCAGGCGAACTGTTAACTGTGTCGGGCAAGGATTGTCTCTCTTTAGATAAGGAGGAAGGAAAACTGCTGGGTGTCTTCATTGTATTTTCCAGGGAAGAGAAAGAACACGATGTTCCACTCAGGCTGGGTGAGGATGAAGATGCCTGCTGTGCAGCCTATTTTTTTTCACAAATAAAACCAAAAAAAAAAAAAAAAGAATAAAAGACATCATGATTAAACCATCATTCTCTACCTTTCATTTTCAATCACGGTGTCCCTGTGTTATTTCAAAAAGTGACCAATAATAAAACAGTCAAAAGTAAAGGCATGATATTTATTTCTGTTTGACACACACTAGGATTTCATTCTCCAAAACTGATTTATATAACTTTACATTCACTGTTCTAGGATCTGAAAAAAAATCTCCTTATCATGATCTGTCCTATTCTTCAACACTCCCCAGAAACTTAAAAGGCCTCTTTTGGGAATCCTTCAGAATACTGCATTACACTTTGAGCAAAATATAATTTGCATCTATCACTTAATTCACACTGATGGAACAAAAAAAGGTAATTATGAAAAAGGAGAGGCTGGGTGCGAGGGCTCATGCCTGTAATCCCAGCACTTTAGAAGGCTGAGAGGGGTGGATCACCTGAGGCTGGGAGTTCGAGATCAGCCCGGCCAACACGTTGAAACCCCATCTCTACTAAAAAAATTAGCCTGGCGTGGTGGCACATGCCTGTAGTCCCAGCTATTCAGGCGACTGAGGCAAGAGAATCACTTGAACCTGGGAGGCAGAGATTGCAGCAAGCTAAGATCATGCCACTGCACTCCAGTCTGGGCGACAGAGCGAGACGCTGCCTCCAAAAAAGAAAAAGAGAACAAAAGCTGGAGCCATTCCAGAAACAAAATACGAACTTAAACCCTTGAACATCGCTCGCGTATTCCTTAGTGCATTAAAAGCCTTGGCGACATTTTCATCAGTACAGAGAGAAAACATCAAAGCAACATCACCAATGATATGGTTGGCTCTGTGTCCCTACGCAAATCTCACCTCAAATTGTAATCCCCACATGTTGAGGGAGGGACCTGATGGGAGGTGACTGGATCATGGGGGTGGTTTCCCCCATGCTGTTCTCATGATAGTGAGTGAGTTCTCATGAGATCTGATGGTTTAAGAGTATTTGGTAGTTCCCACCTCACTCACTCTTTCTCCTGCCACCATGTAAGATGTGCCTTGTTTCCCCTTTGCCTTCCTCCAGGATTGTAAGTTTCCTGAGGCCTCCTCAGCCATGTGGAACTGTGAGTCAATTAAAATCTCTTTTCTTTATAAATTACCCAGTCTCGGGTAGTTCTTTATAGCAGTGTGAAAATTGGCTAATATAACCAACAAGGATACTCTTGGAAAGAACTTGATTTCTTCTGAGATTTTTGTCTTTACTACATTTTGATGCTGAAATACATGCCTTCTTTTAAAAAAAAATGGTGACAGTACATATGAGCCTTTGTCTCTTTGGAGTTTTCTTTTTTTAATGTCCTATGTGGCAAAATAAAGATTCAGCAACTCTATCTTGTTTCTCCATTTTTAATTTTATTGACCAATAAAATCCAAAAATCTAGATTCCAGTGCTCTGTGGATCACCCTGTATCTCCAACAGCAGATAAGACAGAGAAGGCATTTTATGGTTCAGTTGCATTATATCATCCTATGGGACATGCCTGTCAACGTCAAGCATTCATAACTCCAAGGAAGGCCAGGCACAGTGGCTCATGCCTGTAATCCCAGCACTTTGGGAGGCCGAGACGGGCAGATCTCTTGAGGCCAGGAGTTCAAGACCAGCCTGGCCAACATGGTGAAACCCCGCCTCTACTAAAATTACAATAATTAGCCAGGCGTGGTGGCTCATGCCTGTAATCTCAGCTACTTGGGAGGCTGAGGCAGGAGAATCACTTGAACTCAGGAAGCGGAAGTTGCAGTAAGCCAAGATCATGTGATTGTACTCCAGCCTGGGCAACAGAGTGAGACTCCATCTCAAAAACACAAAAACAAACAAACTCTAAGGAAGTGTCAGGAAGGTTGATAGAGAGAGGAAGCCAAAGAGCAAAGTAGGATCCTCCTCAAAAACCTCAGAATCATTACAACTAATTCAGAAGAGTTGACTTTCTTCCAAATCAATATGGCCCCCAGGAAATTTGTAGATTCTGAGCTCTGAGTTTTGATGGGGGAAGCCAATATTTACCCAATGTGTGCCCAATTAGCTCCATGCTAGACATGGATTGTCAGATAATCAAGAAATACACTTTTAAGTAGCATGACATCAAAATCTCTAGTTAAGATACTAACTAATCACACATATCTTCTCAATAATCATATAGTGGCACAGACATAAAAAAAAATCCATTCAGGAATATGTCAAGTATCTTGTAAACTGGTTACTTTACATCCCTTAGATCTTTAATAACCAAGAGATCAAAGATCTGTAATTTCAATAAAACCCTAGTTATCTAGAAGAGGAAATGCACTACTCCCAAATTGTCTAAATAAATGACAAGAACAGTTTACTTATTAGCAGGATCTACAAAATAAATATTAACAAAAATATCCATTCTGGCCCAGTCCTGACACGTTCCCCTATTGTGAGCTATTTTAGTAAAACTCAACTTCTATGTGATCAACTTCCTTTTTTGAAACAACACCAAACATGAGCTTTTCCTGTTACTCCTGCTGACTCTACTTTAAATTAGATTATAGCAAACCAGGCTATTTGAACAGCAGACCATGTACACAGGTGCTACAGCATTGTCTGTAAGGTTTTTTGAACCTCAAAACTCTGCAAAGTGTCAAGACCTGTTAAATGAGCATCAGAAAGATCTGTGAAGTGTCATCCTGTTTGTGGTGCGACTCAAACACAATGCACTGTGCACTGCTCTCTCAATCCATTTTCTCTAGGCACCAGGCACCACTTATAAATTTCACTTTTAAATGGAGAAAAGATGAATGAGGGGGAAAAAAAAGAAAGAGAGAGAAACAAGAAATAGGAAGACTTGGAGAAGAGGAAAAGGCAAATGAGAAAGCGACTATATGTTCAGGTCGGGGGAGTTTTCATTGGAAAAGAGATTGACAAAATACAAATCAAAGTGAACCTGGAGTTTCATTTCCAAGGATTCAGTATGAAAACACACTTTAAAGACCATGTAGTGCTAAGGCATGGCTCATTATTTCTAACATTATGGAGAAACCAATAGCCAACATCAAGCATAGAACTCTTAGCTCAGTGCCTTCTGTGAACCATCTGCACAATATACTCATAAAGCTCCCCAATGAAGATCACATGAAAGAAGGCAGTGCTAGTCTCTCCTCTCCGCCCCACCTCTATTGGTAAATATGAGCCCATCCTTCGTGTGTCTGTTCAAACACCAACTCCTCCAGGAAGCCTTCTCTGATAGTCTCAGAGCCAGGTAGGTGCTTTGCCTGGTGCTTCTGGGCTTATTTCTATCATAATAGGTGGAACGTCATTTTGTGTATCAACTTACACAGTTGTCCCTTGAACAGTAGGGATTCAAACTGCACAGGTTCACTTAAGCACAGACATTTTTCCAATAAATACAGTCGGCCCTCTGTGTCCATGGATTCCAAATCCACACCCAAATGGGGATGAAGACAGCATTTGCGGGATGCGGGATGAGCAACTCGAGGATACAGAGAGTCGACTTTTCGTTTAGGTGGGTTCTGCAGGATCCACTGTGGGACTTGAGTATGCACAGACTTTGGTCTCCATGGGGTTCCTGAAACTAAACCCCCCACAGATACCAAGGGACGACTGGATTGCAACTACTGATTGACTGTTCATCTTTTTGATGAGCTACCTGAGAACAGGCCGGTTTTAATCATTTTTGCACCTCCATTTTTTGCCTCTTGTTTGACACATAATTGGTAACAAATTAATGACAAAGAATTGGCCAGAACCAGCTTTGTGAAGAAAAGCACCCCAGAGTTATTCAGCCTCTGGGGGAGGAGCTCCCTGAAATCCTCCATAAAGTTGCTGAGTGATTTATCCAAATCCCAAGATCAAGGGGTTATCGGTGCCAATTACAATGCAAATAGCCTGACAAAATATTCTCATAAGCTCAAATGAAAGTATTATTTTATTTAGTTAATGATTAATAATTGTATGTGGTTTCATCTCTTTCAGAACACTTCGGTATTAAGTATTTTACATTTAAATGAGGAAATTAAAGACATTTCAAAAATCTTAGTTCTTAAGAGACTATGATATGATTACATTAAAAATTAATATTGATTTTCCCTATTTTCTGTATAGGATAGTTTTAATTCTTGAAGAAGCTTCATTCAAATGTTAGCCCTAAAATCTTTTTCTTGGAATTGTTTTTCAAACACAAGTTCGACATGGTAAAAAAAAATAGTTTAAAATGGCCACCCAAAGCCTGTAATTAGGCAGAAGTGAGTAAGCATAGAAATCTTAAGGAGTCAAAGTACATGGAAACAAAAAAGTCCGAACAAAACAAAACAAAACCAAAATGAGAAGAAAGGAAGAAAAGTACACAGCTTCCCTTTCCTTATATTGGCCATATTAGCAAAAACAAAAAATAAACCAGTCAATTGTTGTCAAGCCCCAGAAGTATCATGTTTGTATTTCTCCCATATGCCAGGAGAAGCATTACCCTAAATACCAAAAGACCTTGTAATAGTATACTCCTTCTCTGCCGCTGACCTTCTGCATGACCTTGGGCAATGTGCTGACCGAAGATCTACTCATCACTGTGATCCTTAGTATCCAAGTGACCTTGAAGAAGTCATTTTACCTCCAAGTACCATTCTACCGGCTTCCTGCCTTATCACTACTCCTCACCCTACCCCAGTCCATCCTCCAAACCACAGATAGAGTATTGCTAACACATACAAAAAGTTCACAATACTCCTCTGCAGAAAACCCTCTCGTAACTGCCCATCTTAAGTAGAATAATATCCACAGTCTTCATTAGAGCTTAGAAGGTCCACATGAACCCCTAAGGACTCCTCCCCCTGCATCTCCTCCCTCCTTCTCCACGCCTTCCTAGCCACACTGGCCTTCTTTCTGAGCCATCAGCACATCTCTGGTCCCTTTTGCCAGAAAGGCTTCCCTGTGGATGTTGGGTGGACTGCCTCCTTC